GGGAGAGAGGGTATATACCTTTTAATACGTATATTATATTATATGCATGCAATACACTTGTGAATTTTATTACGAACAGCAAAATTCCTTGATTATCCGAAAAAAGCCCATTCAGTATATTGATATCATTCTAGCTTTAATTCAAGAATTCGTTTCGTAGCAGAAGTGGACCCAAAAGGTAGACTTACTTATAATAATATGACACCATATTTGATAATAATTGATAATAATGATTTTTATTTATATGGCGCATATCAATGCACCACAGCATGCTCTACGAGCTTTAGATCTCTACATCTATGATAGAATTTTGAGCACACTCAAAAACACTCAGAAATATTTTTTGCTTCCCGGGGAGCATACAGTGCAAGCTGCAGGTTTCACGCGCTCAAACACTATCAAACGGACAAGAAAGAATGAATAAATGATTGAATGAATGAATATGACGTCATAACTACCCCAAGCCTGGCCCCCACACAGAGTGGAGACCCCTGTACTAGTAGGGTCAAGATCAAGTAAGTCTGAATGGAGGGCAGAGGTAGACTTTTTCCGGATTTTGGCACAGACCAGAGTAAGCTTATAGTGACAGGAGAATTCTGACTGGCTTTTGACGCCCAAGTCGGGCAATTGTCTGGGAATGTCAAAGGTGGCTCTGTTTTCCCTCGTCGGTGTGGGAGGAGATGTGAATGGATATAGCGGATGAAGCAATAGAAATGACGAAATAGGATCAGACACGTTCGTTGAGGAAGGCAGGTGAGACATACAGAAGTGAACGACCGCTGCGTGATGAGATGTGAGCTGACTCACGAGATGAGGGGAGCAGGGATGGCATTCAGGGAGGGGGACCTGGTAGGGTGTTTTTTTGTTTTTTGTTGTTGGTTTGTTTTTTTTTTGGGGGGGGGGGTGAGCGGAGGTAAGGGGTAAGGAACCTTTTGTTTATTCGGAGGGGCGGTTATTCGCCAATAAGAAACAGAGCGAATTCCTGTTTTACATCCAATAGTAGAGAACATTCAGTATCGATAATGGGTAAGGGGTACTGGTATATGAAAGGGTAATTACTCATTTTTGAGACTGCTGTGGCGTCAAGAGAGACTGATTCCTGTTTAAACCATTTAGATGTAACCGATTTTGCAGAGCTCCAACGATAAACACAAGAAGATATTCCGTATCAAACATTACGCTTAGCTCTAGCACATGCTTTCTCAACATTGATAAATACAACGCATGTCGTTCAAACTGACGAATAAAACAATAACGGGAGTAAACGTTTACTCGCCAACATCAACAAATAAAGCTGTTCGCCTTCAGAACGTACGGTAGTCGTTGAAGAAAAGCATCGGTGTGAGAGGTGGTGAGGAAAGACCTGTCACTAGAAGTGGCAGCTCCCCTAGTCACCTGCACGTGCGGATTGGAATGGGCAGAGGCTGTCAGGCGAAGGGACGATAAGAGAAATATAGTCCAAAGATAACACTTCAACGTCTGACACGCCGGCAATGCAACCAACCGAAAAAAATGGTAATAAAAAAGAGCAGAAAAGGAAAAACAAGAGAAAAAATCTAAACAAAACAAAACAAAGAAACAAAAGGGGTAGAGGGGGGAGGGGAGGTTTGGCAGTGTGGGTAATGTTTCCAATACTGGTCATAAAGGGCATGGGTCATCAAAGAGATTTATTTCCTCCGGAGAACACAAAGAATTCTTTTGTGCATCATGAACAAGAACTGCAAAAGGAGAGCGAGACTTAGGATAAAACCTTTGGGCCTCCCAAAACAAATTGTTCCTGTCTCATGGCTTTTTTTTCTTCTGGAAGCACAGCATTTACTTCTATGATGGCACATTTTTTAATGTAATTTACAAATATGTCTGTCACCAAACAGAGACAAAGGACAACCCCCCACCACCCCCCCCCCCCCAAAAAAAAAGAAACAACTAAACTTTGGACCACAACAGCACGCTATCCGCTAGCAGTCGTACATTTCTTTTGTTTAGTCAAAGAGTAGACCAGTCTACAGAAGTTTCTTTATTCCTATTGCTTAACTAATAACTAGTAGCATTCGTCATTTATAGAAAAAAAAGCAAAACAATTCTGTGAATAAATTAAATATAGACCTATATGCCTTGTGTAATTTTCACTTTCAATATTTTAACGAAGGCTTCATAGCTCTTTAATATTTTTTTAAAATGTATAGTACTAGTGCGGTAAGGGCAGAAATCATTTTTTTCAACGCATCAACACTATCATTTCCATATGACAATTATCTTTGATATAATCATTATGACGTGTATTATTATTTGTGCAGAATGACAGTCACATTGTTGAGTCGAGAGGGAAGAATCCAAAAATTCCACAGACACAATTGTTGTTCTCGCCTGACCTGACCATCAATGATTTATTTATAGAGGCACCAGCCATCTATTGAACAAATCTCAAATTACCCCTAGCGTCCTCTCGCCTTATCTCCGAGGCTTTCATCACTATCTGACCATTCCCAAAGTGCCTATCTCCTCCTCGGTCCATCCAGTGGTCTTCTCGCCTTCCCCCTCCTTCCCCCTCCTCCTCCTCCTCCTTCTCCTCCTCCTCCTCCTCCTCCTCCTCCTCCTACTCCTTTCAGAACCACTACAGATTGATAGAATAATGTGATCAAAACAGACTCGCTCAAAAGAACGAGGACGAACCCTTCACTGTCTGTCCTCCCAACGACCTTTTTCTCGCTCCCGTTCTCGCTCTCCAGCAGGAGGAGAGAATTTCAGATCGTGTGCCTAGCAACACCCAACGCGGAGCAGGGGAAAGCACTCTGACTGAAACCCCGCCCTGGCCCCTCCCCCTTCCGGTAGTACTGGGTTAACTAGTAGTCTCCCGTTGGCCGTGGACCAATCAGGTCAAGCTGGTAGTGACTTGTACTAACGATAGTCCCAGGGCTCTGGTATGCCACTGCTAACTGTGATGGCTGTGATGGTACTAGTGTCGTTTGCGAGCTCTTTACCGGAGCGCAGGGGCTTAGGCTTAAGGCTTACGGTTTATGGACAGGACGAGCTGAGCAGGGGAAAAGGCCTGTGACGTACGGTCAACATCTGGCTTGTGTATGGTCTGGCTTAGTGGTAGAGGTCGAGACAAATGGAGAGTTGTTAATCTACATGTGCAGATAGTTGATCGGACAACTGAGAGGCCCTGAGAGATAGACTACTTGACCGATAAAAGTTGTCAGAGGGGAGGGGGAAAGGTGAAAAGGAAGGGGGGAGTGATGAACGGGGAAAGAGGGGAGGGTATAGCATGGAGTCAGCATAAAAAGAAGCAAAATAAGAGAGAGACAGAGAGACAGAGAGACAGAGAGAGAGAGA